GGGGTTTTGGGGCGTCCGATACACCTGGTTAAAGGGTTTTTGGCGGTCAGATACATCTTCCTAAAGGGGTTTTGGGGCGTCCAAGACACCTTGCTAAAAACACCTTTAGGGGCTGAGATACACTTTGTTAAAAGGTTTGGGGGGCTCAAATAGACTTTCCTAGGAAGCTTGTTGGGTCCTCTCAAGGGTTCCGTGAAAGTAAGCTTCAAATCGTAGCGCTAGCTTTTGGGCACGGTACGCCAGCACATCGCACATCACTTCACTGGTGGCTTTGCCACAAACTGGCGTGACCGCAATCCACCGAACGTCTTCAGCCAATGTTCTTTGGAACCAGAAGCTGGGTACAACAGAACTCTCACCCTGCATCCGAGCAACTCAACCAGGGCAAACGCCAGAAATGCCGAATCTGACATTGGGTCCCCGCATGTCCCCGCCAAAACTCTTGGCAACACCACGCTGGCAGATGGTTATTAGAGGGACCTTTCGAACCTCAAAGTATCAGGAGATGCTTGCCTCCTGCACTTCCGGCTTGCTCATCGGATGGGTCTGGGTATGATCCAGCTCCCTCGCGGGGAAATAGACTGGGAAGAGCTCTGTCAGCAGCTGGTGGTCTTGCGGCCCCAGCTGCCATTGATTGGCGGCCGCCATGTGCCGGACGAAGTGAGACTGATTCTTGGTTATTATACTAAGTGTCAAAAGGAGAGTCTTTGTCAATGCATGTAGGGGTGCCTAGCTGCGCCAATCCGCGCAGTCCCTGAACTGAAATCATTGGCCTACTCATGTGTCTGGCACGTTACACAAGTTACCTTGCGCACTCTAACCTGGCCAAAACTATGCAAAGGGATGGGGCGGAGCGGGGGGGTGGACAGCCAAGCTGGAATAGCAAGCGGTCAGGCATTGATCCTCGGAGCCTTTAGAGACTTCACAAAATCGAAACCTGTTCTCCCCAAGGTCTTCAGGTCCGGACGTGCATAACAAGTACATGGATGCAAAGCAAGCTCCCTTAACCCCGACGCTTGCAAAGGAAGTTTTCCTTTTGAGGCAGGGCCTTGGAAGTAGAAATTGTCAGAAAAACCCTGGCGCCCCACTCCGAAACTGTAAATTATGATCGAACATGTTAGAGCGTACAACCCAGTACATCATGGAAGCAGACCAAGTTCTATGAAAATGGATGCGAATGGTACAAGAACTACGGGCATGTGATATGATGCTTCTCATCATGCGTTTCCTTCCTGGCTTTAAGCCAGTTCATAGGAAAGGAAGCTTGGCCGGTGTGGGGTTTCAAAGATGTAGTGCAGCGACCTGAAACTGAAGGGCCCAGTTACAGGCAAAGTGCCGAAGGTGTTCCAGGCCTCGGGGTTTCGGGGACTTTTGGATTCGAGGTGCAGGGTTCTAGGTGCTGAAGGGACCGGTGTGCAGGTGCCAACACTTCCAGCAGTGTCCTGCTGGAGCACACCACATCCCAATGAGCACATGATAAAAAAAACCTGATCGTAACCAAGCCCCTTTGCAAAAGTTTAAGGAAGACAGTGCGACCTCTCAAGTAAGCTTTGCTCACAGCTTTCATTAGGAAATCCTTCTGAACGACAACACGTACCTGAAGGCTGTGGCAAACAATATTCTACCAAGATCGACAGCAGATGTAGTAGTACTGCACGAGACGGGCACAATGAAACGTAAATGAATGCGAAGGCGACAAAGCACATCACATTAAGATAGACATAGTTACGAAAGGAGCAAACTGATGAATACCTACCTAGCCGCGTGCTGCAGCAGGGTGTGAGATTGCCAAGGCCTACTAACGCTGTGCAACAAGCGGTCGTACGCCAACACTCTCGACCAATGCCCAGCCGGACCACTTCCGCAGTAGATCTCATGAGATGATTAGATAGCTATTAGTAACAGACAAGACGTCGTCGCCCAACCCAGAAAGACTAAACCAAGTCCTAAACTCCCTCTTTTGAGCGAAGTCCATCGGCTTTGGAGTTGTCATGGGTTCAGCCGGCCTTGTGCCACGTGCAAAGAATTCTGACTACAAATCACCGAGGGACCAAGTTGATTGGGTCCTGAACTCTGGCAAGTTGCCGAAGCGGGCGAGGCTTCAGGCCTACAGCTTTAAAGTCCTGAGCTCTGGGACCGAAGGTCTGCGGGCTGGAGAGTTTAAGGTACCGACAGATGCAGATGCAAAGTTAGATGGGTTTGGGACGGAACGGAGTTCAATCCATCCTTCGGACCCTGCAGCGAATACAGGTCAGCATGGAACGAAAACTGCCCTCTCGACAATGGTTCGGTCAATGTTTACAAATGAAGGCCTCCGGAAGAGCCATCCTGGCACAGAGACGTACGCTACTCTGATTGCGGCTTGTCTGATGTGCAATTGTGAAGATGAAGACCGTGATGTTAAAACAGGAAGTGAAGAACCAAGGTAGCAAGAGCAGTAGTAGTAGTCGTCGTCGTGGCAGTCGTAGAAATAGCAGTAGTAGTGGTGGTCGTCGTGGTCGTGGTGGTGGTGGTGGTGGTGCTGCTGCTGCTGCGTCCAATGCGAACTGGAATCAGGATCCTGGGCACTGAAGCCCTTTGAACGAGAGCCTTCTTCCGTTTCTCACAGGGTGCATGCTGTGATCAGAACGCAATTCATGGTGAATTCGAGGCCATGGCTCTAAGTCTGTGTATATATAACATAGGTTCCGAGGTGTAAGTTTTGAGCGGAGAGCACGACAGCAAAGCACAAAGTCTTATCCACTGCGACGCACTTGCCGCCAGAACTCCAGCTTTTACCCTTCGGTTTGTTTACTAGTACTTCTGCTCCGAATACTGCTGCTCCGACTACAACAACTGCTGATACAGCTGCTACTACGTCTCGGACGACTACTACTACCATTACTATTACTAGTTTTACTTTTTACTACTTACAACTAGTACTACTAGTACTACTCGTACTACTACTACTACGACTACTACTACGACTACTACTACTACTACTACTACTACTACTACTACTGCTACTACTACTACTACTACTACTACTACTAGTACTGTTACTACTACTGTTACTGCTACTACTGTTGCTATTTGCGGCACTTCGCCGCGAAGAAGATTCAGGACAACAGCAAAAGCCGAACAACCTCAAACTGCCAGCCCGCCAAGTCAAACCTCGTGAAGGACACTCCCCGGCCAAACCTCCGGTACCCTGCTGAGCTACAGACCTGACGAAGGACAGGAGGTTGAGGCAATAAAGCGGAACGATGGTCTGCAAGCGTGGGTTGTTCTGCAGGTCCCTGCTTTGGGTCCCGATTCCAGGCAAGTCTGATAAAGCCGAGATGCTAAACCGAGCCCGAGTGCGGCCCAGACTTTGGTAAACTGCTGCTAGGTCTGTCAGACAAGTTGAGATACCCGCTAGCCAGTAGCTAGCTGGCCTTCGATAAGCCGGGCTGCCAGCAATCAAGATATTAGGCTTGAGAAAACTGCAGGCTAGGGGGTGCAGTGTCGGCCAACAGCCTTCAGACCCAAACTCTGGAGTCAGCGAGGTTTGAGTCTTTCTTCCTTTTTGCCTATCTTCCGGGCTTCTCTGCCGCAAGCCGGAAGTCTGACATTTAAGTGTAGGGAGCGTGCAACGCACGGAGCTGAAGCCCGCCGAATGGTGCATGCTGATTGTGTCTTATTGTCGATTCAGGGTGTGGAGTGCCGGCAGACGTGCCCTGAACCGCGACGACACCTAAAGAAATGCCAAAAACCACATCTTCGCCGCCCCAGACTGCTTCAAGAACAGCCGAAACTACGCGGATCCTAGGCCCCCGCCCACTTCTATTCTTGAAAACATGCCTGCAAAAGAACACCTGGCATGCGACTCATGCTTACGCCGAAGCCGCCGCAAAACGGATATCAACCAACCACGCATGCCTAGGCAGTGTTGAGAATGGAGACAAGCTGAAAGCCCGTCGTCGCCGGCACAAAGAGCATCAGGCTGTCCTTACAGGATTTCGGCATAACGCCGCCAACCTTCGAAGTCCGACGTGGGCAACGGCATTTAAGTTATTGTGGCTTATTTCTAAGCGTGCCTGAACCTCCACAGTCTTGCCGCTGCCCAACAGTCCTACCTGCTCGCCCCAAAAGGAAACCAAGATCCTATACTCACGAAGATTCTGATTCTGACCGCAGAAGGTCAAACAACATCCTCGAACCTCAGCCCCGAAATCTTTCAAGCCTATCCCTGAACACCAGAAGCTTGACCCTGAACAGCCTTCAGAGTTCATCTGCGATTACTTAAACGACGTAAACCCTGAAGCCCCAATCCCTAAACAGCAGGGAACGTCGACAAGGTTTGGGGTGGTGTTTACGGCAGGGCATTCCGCACAAAGCCGAAGTCAAGCTGCCAAACCAAATGACAAAATTCTGAATACTTCGCACCTGCCGCTGGTACAAACCATTAGAAGCGAGTCTCTACATCTCATCGGTCGACGACTGAACGGTGAAGGCTCTCTGTCCCATACACGCATACACCTTCAACACAACTGCACCTGTGTATGCAAGAAATAAATACTCATGTCAATTCAAGTATTTATATATGAGACAGACAGAGAAAAGGAGGCAGCGAGAGAGAGAGAGAGAGATCTAGGGAGGGCGGAAACACGAACACCACTGTGTAATACATCTGTATAGGTATGTGTTTAGATGAACTTCTCAAACGGAAAGCTTGAAAGCGAATCAATATATGGAGCTTTCAGTACTCACAACTGGGACAAGCCGGGCGAGGTCTGTCTGGTACAGGCGGCGGCACATTGAACCTCTGTAGCGTTAGGCTAACATGGATGGACGTATAAATAGCACACATACGTACAAGTTCATACAAGCATTCATGCCTGCAGGGAGAACAAATATGTGCATGCATATGTTTGTAGAGGCCTCTATCTGTACAAGTATATATGTGAATTATAAGAGACACACACACACAGACAAACACACACACACACGCGCGCGCACGCGAATGCGGGTGCCTGCGTGCCTGTGTGTACACACACACACGTGCACACACACACACACACAAAAACACACACGTAGATTGATGGATAGGACATCGGATGACATCACCGAGGCCAGGCGTCGGGATCCGCATGGCGCAGGCGCTGCGACATCTCATCGTCGGAGTCGGGGGTCTGAGCCGCACCCTGCCTGAGCTGAAACATTTTGTCCCGAGATTGGGTCTTGGGATGCCGGGCTTGGGCTCTTCTTTTACGACTGGGTTGACGGGCTTCGGGCTTACAGGTGTGGGACTGCAGGATTGATGGGTTTTAGGTTTATCGAGGTCTATGAGGGTTCAGAGCTTCAGGGTTTTGGGTTGTCGGCCTTCAGGGTGCTTTAGGGCTCCAAATGTTTAGCACGACGTCAGGTAAATAGGCTCACTGCATATGCGCACGGTAGGAAACCAACGACTCTTGGATCCTAAAGTCTAGCGAGTCTAGCGAGTCCCAGATGCATCGAGCGCCCGTTGTAGTACTCAGGCCTTTGAGGATGGATCACGCCATCCTCGGAAGGCGCTTCGGGGCTTTTGGGGCTTCGTTTCTGCCACCACGAACGAACCTATGCTGTCATGTCCGATGCGGTCATACCTTCGGCTCATCTAACCGTGTTCATAGAATGGCAGTTGGTCTTGTTGCTTGTCGTGCAAGGTTGGTCTTCTGGGGCTGGTTATTGCAACAGCAAGCACGACAACACGCGACGACGGCGACGAGCAGAAGAAGAACACGAATAAGAAAAATACAAAGAAGAACAACAGCAGCGGCAATGGCGGCGGCGGCACAGCAGCAGCAGCAGCGGCGGCAGCAGCAGCAGCAGCACCACCACCACCACCACCACCACCACCACCACCGCCACCACCACCACCACCACCAACCACCACCACCACCACCACCAACAACCACCACCAACAACCACCACCACCACCACCACCACCACCACCACCACCACCACCACCAC